ATGTAATTTGCTTATGAAAAGTCACATTACATATATATTATTATGTGGAGAATTCATGATCCTATCTCTCTATGTGATGTTATTGGTTAGAATAATTGAGATTCCTAATTAGACTATATGTTCATCCCACGTTGTTGATTACTTTTTAGGTGCAAACATGAAAGATAGTAGACACATACTTAGGGATTGTCAAAGTCGTTGGGCATGACATTTCATTACATCTCAGTATCATGATAATGTCAAGACTCATACACTTCATTAAGATTATCTCTGCTGGATTTTATGCTCATCCTTATGTAGAAAATTGTTTTTAGGTGCTGATGATGTGTCTATGCTAAGATGAAAGACGTGGAGGATTTTGGAGTGTGAAACTCATTTCTGTTTCATTTTGTAAAGCCAGGGGCTAATTTGTAATTAGGTTTGAAACCCATTTTTATGTAATAGGGCAAGGCCCTTGAAAATTGTAGCCATAAGGCATTTGTTTTGAATTTATTTAGGAGTAGATTCAAGCTTGTAGGGTTGTGCATTTATCAAAGCATGTAATTTTTTTTGGAACATTTGAATGGAATACAAGGGATGGAGGTTTTTTTCTATATAGGCAATTGATCCATAGTTGAGATTATTTATCTCTTCCACATGTTTAATATTATTGATAATTGGAATTTGAGTAATAAATATGGGTTGTATCCAATGAGTTGGGTTTCATTAATTTGAGGGTGTAACAAGCGATAGTAGAAATAATTAAACATTGCTTCAATTTAGTTCCATTTACTTACGGGGAAATAAAAATCTTATTTCATTTGTGTAAGTGAATGCAAAATTACCAAAAATTAGACTATTAAAACCTTTTAATTTTTTATAATATTGACTAACAATTGAATTATTTTTTTGATTTTATATTTAAAAATTTTAAAATCACCTATTAGTTAATAATTAAATTTGTTTTGAGTGAGGTAAGAGATAGATTATTTTATGAATTCTACAAAACTAAAAATCATGTGACATTAAATACAACTTTTTATTTTTATTGTCATTTTTACTTTTTTATAACTTTATATAACTTCTTAATTTATAAATAAAATTTGTATTTATGAGAAACAGTGAAAAAAAAATGAGTGTAAATTTCATTTCATTACTTATTTATCTTACAATTAATGAATTTTCATCCTATGTGTTAATGTATATATGTTAATGTGTACATTTAGCTACTGTAATTACCATATTAAGTTATTTCCTTTGTTAGCTTTCTTGTGGGCTAATCTTACTCAATCTATATATTCAATATACATAATTCATATTCTCTCTTCTCATGTTCTTTATTCTCAAAGATATATTAACATGGAATCATAGTTTATGATTTAAATTTTTTGCTCTTTTTTTTTCTTTTCCTTGCTTTTAGTTTTATTACATAAGTTCTGTCACGCCTTCTCAGCCTAACAAATCTCAAAAACAATGATATATTCGTCATCCTCTCTTTGCACCAAACACAACACCACTAACCATAGCCTGATCAGCCTTCTCGTATGCTACTCAAAGCCTTTACCATGTGCCCTCATGTGCCGCAACCTTTGCCCATCCCCATCTAACGTCTTCCCTAGTTATCGTGCGCACGCCGATGTCAGCCATTTCCGTTTGCACTGATGTCAGCCCTATTCGCTCGTCTATGCTAACATGTGTTGTGCACACTGATGTCACCTTCAACGTCATCATCTGCCACTTTTGTCACAGTCGACGTTAGCCCTAGCCCCTTTCCAACACCAATTCAGTCCTAGTCTGGTTCAATAGCTATATTTGACCAATTCAACCCTTTCTAAAGTCATTTTTGATTGATTCAAACCAATTCCAAGCATTTCGAACCCTTTTGAATCCATTGGTGATGTTTGCTTCTACAGATTTTGTTATTTTTTTGCATTGTTTTCTCCCATTGGTGTTATTATGAAATGAATTGATCCGTCTCAACCTATTTATGTACTCCTTGATGGTACCAACAATGTTCTTTAGGCTCAAGCTATACATGTCTAATATTTTTTTAGGTCGAAAGTTATGGCGTGCTGTTCCTGGAGATCTTTCCAAACCTACTAAGGGAGACATAGAAACTTAACCGAAATTTGCTAAACACCTTGAGGACTGGGACAACAAAAATTATTAATTTATCACTTGGTGTCGCAATATGTCTATCACATTTATTCATCTTTAGTTTGGCCATATTCAAATGGATGACAATCCTATTTCAACCTAAACAAATTGGGATTTCTTAAAGGAACGATATCAAATCACTGACTTATCTAATCAATATCAGTTTCTCAATAGCCTTCATTAGCTCTGCTAGTCACTAAGTTAATCCATTATTGACGTCTTGTCCTCCATATATGCCTTGTGTGATCAACTATCTCTATTTGAACCAACATGGACTAATACAGCTAATGCTCAGTTATTCACCTGTTATCACAATCAACAGTGGTTGATTCAATTTCTTATGGCTCTGACTAGTGATTTGGAGCTTGTTAGTGCCTCTCTTGTTCACCGCAGTTCCCTACCAACCTTGGAGCAAGCTATTTCATAACTTTTATCTAATATTTTGGGGCTTTCAAAACACACCACCCTGACACAGTTCTTGCTACACCTCAAACTCGAAATATATCTCGTTCTTCATAGGGTTCTTATTCTTGTGGTCATTGTCATGAGAAGGACCTCAATTCTAATCATACTCTAATTCATTATCCTATCATACTTTGAAGCTCTAAAGATAAGTTCAAGTCAGAAATATAGCCGGGTTTTGAAGCTAAAGAGATGAGGCAATTTTGATGTCCTTAAAGTGATATTTTAATGAAAGTATAAAAGGTGCTAATGAGACAAGAAAAATATCACATACGATTCAGATGACAAGTTTTGTCAACCTTGTTAACATCAAATGAACGAAAGGTAATATTACAACTTGACTTAAAGTGGATTTAAGAACCAGAGCTTGACGATGGAGCAGGGGGGGTGGATCCCCGTCGTGAAGCAATAGAAAAGAAGTGATACATGGAATTAGGTGGGCAGTAATGGCTTGTTCTCTGTCTTTGTGATTAATCTACCTGTCAATATGGATTCTAGAGCTTTGTTTAAACTATTCACAAAGTTTGGAATAGTGAAGGATGCCTTCATACCATAAAAGAGGAGGAAAGTAACAAATTCTAGATTTGGTTTTGTTAGATTCGATTGCTCAGTGGCCGCTAATGTTGTAGTCTAGAAAGATGATTTTTTATGGGTGGAGGATAGAGAGCTTCAAGTCAAAATGGCAGAGTATGGCAGATTCAAAATCAGAGCAAATCGACAAAATCAGCCTAGAAGGATTATCGATGGAATTACAGCTAGGGCAAGGAATGCTCCAAATCAATACAGTTTCCAGAGGTCTTTTGCTGATGTTTTGAAAACAGGTGTCCACAATCCAGTAGAGAAAGCAGCCCATACCATTCAGGTAGATGAAGAGGGGCACGGTTGGCTGTATAATATTGTGCTATTGAAGTTCAAAACAGAGCATTCTTTGTAGTGTATTAAGTCAGTGCTAAAAGAGAAAGGATTGGGGCATGTGTTGGTCAGAAATGGAGGGGGTCAGGTCGTAGTGATGTCCTTTTTATCACATGATGATATGATGTCAAATCTACCGTCGATCAAAGCATGGTTCCTGGAGTGGTGTGAATTTGTCAAAGTTTGGGAACCAAGACTATGTGCTGAGCAAGAGAGGTGTCTGTGGCTTAGATGTTATGGTGTCCCGCTGAGTATCTGGAATAGAGGCACATTCAACAAGATTGGCAGCATTTGGGGTAGTGTTATTAGTTTAGATGGTAACATTGGCCAACCAAAGTCCTTTAGTTATGGTAGAGTTAGAATTGCCACTAGTTGTATGGAGTTTATCAACAACACCTTGAATATAGAATGCAAAGGTAGACTCCATCCAGTTCTGGTTTGTGAAGAACAATCACATGTTTTAGTGGATAGTGGAGGCATATTGCTCAGTGAGGTTGAGGAAGACCGCAGTTCCAATGAGGTAGAGCCGCCTAATCAGGAAGATGTGAGATATGGCGATATGATTGTCGATAATAAGGTTGTGGAGTTTGAAGATGATGAAGTTCAGTAGGCAAATGCTAGTGATATGGCGCTTGGAAATAGGCTAGAAATGGTAGGTATAAGTCATCAGTTGGATACAGTAGTTGAAGAGAACCAAGGTGGCGTGGGGAACAATTTGGTAGTTGAAGAGCATTTGGAGACGGCAGTGGCAGAGAGTAGCTTAGAAGCTAATGATGATAATCTAAGGGTTGAGGAGCAACTTATTACACCTAGTTTTATTAGGGGCTTAAGTGGGTCTGCAGGCCATGGGCTTGGTATTAATCTGAAAGTGAATCTGGGCCCCATTCAGGATTCATTGGAGCATAGCAGATTGGGTCAAGCCCATAAACCAGTGGTGAATAGTAGTTTGGGTATTATTATGAGGGGCCCAAATACACAATCACCTTCTACTTCTGAGTGGGTATCTACAAGACCAAGCATGGACAAGGGGCAATTAGATCCAAACAGGTTAATAGCCAGCATACTAGATGAGAAAAAGTTAAGTAAAAAAGGAAAAAACAAGGTTAGATTTTCTGGTGCAACAAAATCCATCACTGGGGTCAAAGGGTATCCATACCTAGCTCGTTTGTATGGTCATAAAGGGGCATCATCCAGCAAGTCCATCCCTAAATGTACTGTATTTAGGGCTGCAGCGGCAGCTTTGTCACTTTTCTGCTTCAAATGATTGTAGCTCTTGCAATAAAAGTCACCTTCTAAGTGAGGCTCAAGCAAACTTAAAGTTGGGAGAAATCCTGGGCATCAACTACCAAGGTAAAAAATCTAAAACTTTGGACAAGATGGTGGATTTGGAATTAGTTGACAGAGAAAGGAGGATGGAGAAGAGGAAAGAATAGGGGCTGTGGGTCTCTTTATAGAGAATTGGGTAGTATCATTGTTTACTTATGAAGTTGATGTCTTGGAATGTTAGAGGATTGGGGAAGTTAGAGAAGAAGGGAAGGATTAGAAAGCTCATATATGAAAGAAAGGCTGATGTTGTGCTTTTTCAGGAGACAAAGAAAGTTTCTATTTCTGAGTGTGAAGTAAGAGCATCGCGGGGCAGGAGAAATATGGATTTTATGGTTGTGGGTTCTAATGGGACTGCTGGGGGTTTACTTTGCATTTGGGACCCAGACTTTTTTCAGTTGGTAGATTGTTGCAGTAATAGAAGATTTATCCTCCTATCAGGTACTTTGCTGCACACCTTTAACTATACTATTTTGAATATGTATGCACCCAATGAGGTGAGTAGTAGATGTAAATTTTGGGACTCCTTGATGAAGCTAAAATCTGCATTCCCAAATCCATGGTGTTTGAGACGTAACCTAAATGAGATTAGAAATATTGGTGAGCGGGTGGGCTGTTCCAGAAGAGATAAGGGGATAATTGATCTAAATTCCTTCATTGAGAGTTGTGAGTTGAATGATTTACCATTGCTAGGTAGGAAGTTCACATAGTGCAATGCTAAAGATGGAGAGAGATGGAGTAGAATTGATAGAATTCTACTTAACCAGGAATGGCTGCTGAAGTTTAATTTTAAATTATGGGGTCTTTCTAGGCTTTTTTCTGATCATTGTTCTCTTTTGCTTATGGAAGGTAAGAGGGATTGGGGGCCTAAACCATTTAGGTTCATTAATGCTTGGACTATCTATCCAAGTTTTCCCTCATTATTGGAAAGGGTTTGGCAGGAAGCTAGGATTAATGGGAGAGCAGGTTATGCCTTGTTCCAAAAGCTAAAACTTCTGAAGGTGGAGCTGAAGAAATGGAATGCTGAAGTTTTTGGAAATCTATCAGCGAAACTCAAAAAGGCAGAGGAAGAATTGGTTGCTCTGAACATTCTGGCTGAAAGTAGACCTCTGGTTGAGGTTGAGAAAATTGAAAGAAGAGCAGGGAGAGGTGAAGTTTGGAAACTTAGTAGATTGGTGGAATGGCTATGGCAACAGAAGTCTAGAGTAAAATGGACAATTAATGGGGACAAAAATACTAAGTTTTTTCACGTTATGGCTAGCAGTAAGAGGAGTAGAAATGCTATTAATTCTATCACAGTTAAGCATGAGGTTTTTGAGGAGCCAGCTAAGGTAAAGTATGAGGTCTTACAACATTTCAAAAGGCAGTTCTCTGAAAGCTGGGTAAGAAGACCAGTGTTGGGAGGGTTATTTAATTCAGTTCAATCAAGCTCTGTATTTCATGATCTTGAAGCTGTGTTCTCTGAAGATAAAGTAAGGGCAGCTGTTAAAGAGTGCAATGGTGATAAGGCTCCTGGCCTTGATGGGTTTAATCTCCTCTTTTTTCAGAAATTATGGGGGTCAGTTCATCATGAAGCCATGAATTTTTTGAGGGATTTTCATGCCACTAACAGACTCCCCTATGGGATTAATAGCTCCTTTATCACTCTTGTCCCTAAGACTGATAATCCCCTTGGTTTGTCTTATTATAGACCCATCAGTTTGGTGGGTAGTTTGTATAAGATTCTTTCTAAAGTGTTGGCCCATAGACTCAAGAGAGTTCTTCCTGTAGTTATTGGAGAAACACAATCTGCTTTCTTGGGGGGGGGAGAAGTATATTGGATGAGGTGTTTATCGCTAATGAAATAGTGGATGGCTAGAAAAAAAAAACTAGAAGGAAAGGTGTGATTATCAAACTTGACTTCAAGAAAGCTTATGATTCAATTAATTGGGAATTCCTATTTTCTATGTTATATAATTTTGGCTTTGGATTAAAATGGATGTCCTAGGTAAGAGAATGTATCTCCACAGCAAGATTGTCTGTTCTAGTGAATGGCTCACCCATAGAGGAGTTTTCACCACAGAAATGCCTCAGACAAGGTGATTCTCTATCTCCTTTCCTCTTTAACATAGTGGCAGAAGGTCTGAATATCTTAATGAACAGAGCCCATGAGCAAGGCATCATCAAAGGGGTAGAAAGTAGGGGTAAATGAGGTAGTAATATCCCATCTCCAATTTGTCGATGACTCCATTATATTTTGGGAGGCTAATATGGATCAAATAGTGCACACAAAGAGGATCCTGCGTTGCTGTGAAATTCTGTTTGGAATGAGAATTAATTTCCATCAGAGTGTTGTGTATGGAGTTGGTGTAGATGAGGAAACCTTGGCCTCTTTTGCAGACACTCTGAATTGCAAGGTTCATGGCCTACCGCTCAAATTTTTGGGTCTTCCCTTAGGTGCTAATCCAGGAAGGAAATCAACTTGGAAGCCAGTTTTGGATAAAGTAAGATCTAGGTTAGCTGGGTGGAAGAGAAGGCTCATTTCCTTTGCAGGTAGATTAACTTTAATCAAGTTTGTGTTATATAGCCTTCCAAATTACTATCTCTCTATGTTCAAAATGCCTTCTGGAGTGGCTAGAGAGATTGAAAGGCTTGAAGCTTCTTTCCTGTGGGGTGGGAATGATTTAAAAAGGAAGGCTCATCTGGTGAAATAGGCTGAAGTAACCAAAAATATAAATTAGGGTGGTTTGGGGATTAAGAGAATTAAGGATGTCAATGCAAGCTTATTGTTTAAATGGTGGTAGAAATTTGGATGTGAAGTAAATGCTCTATGGAGAAGATTGTTGTGCAGCAAGTACATGATTAAAGAGAATAATTGGATCCCACCTGTGAGCTCATCATCTAGATACTTTAGAATTTGGAGAGATGTTCTTGCCATTGCAGGTCATAATCAACCTCTTGAGGAGTTCTATTTGGTGTAGTTTCAGATAAGGGTTGGGGATGGGCGTAGAATAAAGTTTTGGCATGATAAGTGGGTTGGTGATAGGTGCCTTAAAGATAAATACTCTAGACTCTTTAGTTTGTCTAATGACAAGGAAGGCACACTGTCTTTTTTTTCTACGAGAAAATCCAGTTTAGAGTAGTGGAATTTCTCTTTCAGAAGGGACTTATATGATTGAGAGAAGGCAGAGGTCAATAGATTGGCTGCAGGGTTGAGGGAGGCCCCATCACTTATTATTGATGTAGATGACTATGCTGTGTGGAAGGGTTCTATTGATTGCAGCTTTAAGGTATTTGATATTTATAGGTTCACTGATTCTTTTTTAGGCCCTCATCTCAAAATTTGCAAGTTTGTTTGGAATAAGAGCATTCCCCCCAAAGTTCAATTCTTTGGTTGGTTAGCATGGAGGAATAGAGTTAAAACAAGGGATTTCCTACAACATATTTGTCATGACCCCATTCCGCCCCTAGTAGAATGGTGCCGTGATGGCCAGTAATCCTAGATTACCAAAAGCCAATTTACAAAAATTCACACAATCAAAGTATACATATGGGGCTTACATGAGCGAAAGCAAATTTAAATCTAAGTAATCCATAAGAGCTGTGCATAGATCAAATGAAATGTCATACATCTTAACATGGTTTTTCAACTTGAATACAATGAATTAAGCTTAAACATTACATCTTGATCAAAAGGCCTCTCAAGCCAAAATATACAAAAGAAATGAACCAAAAGCTAAGAAGCATAATTTTCAAGATGCTAGCAAAACATGAATCCGAAAACAACTTGCAAATAACATCTAGGCATCACCGCCTTCTAGCTCGTCACCTACATATATATAAAGGGGAGGGTGAGCTTGGATACTCAGTAAATGATATAAGTAATAAAGGTTTGAATGAATGATATCCGAGATCTTTATCAAAACAATACATATCATAGCTTGCACAAAATCAAGGGCTGAACCAAGTTCATCTATCAAAGTCTTTCAAAGCTTCAAGGGATGCTTACTAGCATCAACATAATACAAGGGATGACATTCCTGACAAAATAAGGGAATAATCGACCCAGAATTGATTAGACAAACCCACCCGTACAAGACCATCGGTGGCAAAGGAGATATCTCAAACAAGGGTACTAGTTGCATTATAGTCCCCTAGCACTAAGGACTTTCCAAGAATGTCATCAAAACAAACATAATACTTGATACAAAAACTAAGGGATAATCATTCATACTTGATCAAATACTTTTCCAAAACAAAGCAAAGCAAAGCTTTATAAAATCATTATAACATAGCTTTATTAAAAATACCACTCACAACAGTTCTTCGGATGTAGGTGTAGACACTCCATTTTTGACCGCCTTTAAGACTTGGGCAGTACTGATGGTTTACCTGGTGGAGAAATGTGTGCAGAGCAAAATTTCAATTTCTTCGGCAAGGAGAGAGACAAATCTCAACTTCATACCCCTTTGGGACCAAAACAATCTTGGTCAAAAGATTTTAGACCTTGAAACCCTTTCTTTCGAAATATTTTGAAAATAAAGTTTCTACGATGTTCCGACACTCGCATTTTGTTAAATGTCGCGCTTGTCGATAAACCGAGCAAGGACAAAGTGGAAATGAGTGAAAGAGAGATGAAATCTTTGAAAAATCTTTCAGAACACTTTGTTTAGGGGTTTGGAGTTGAAGAAAAGAGGAAAGGAGAGAAGAAAACTAGTTTGGGAGAAGTTCGGCATGAATTCAGGTAGGACCATAATTGCGCGGCTTCACCAAAACAGGCATAACCTTTTTCACAGTTGTAATTTTGATGCAAGGCTTCCACCATTGGAAATCTTACTTCCGGGGCTTCAATTTGGACACAAGAATGACCTGAAAAGGAGTCCATATGAAGGAGTTATGGCCATTTGAAGTTGAACCTGGAAAGCAGAATTTTCCTACCGACCAGAAAAACTAGCTGGCCGACCAGAAAAAGTGGCTGGCCGACCACTTTCTCATGAAAAGTGGTCGGATGACCAGAAAAAGTGGCTGGCTGACCACTTTAACTAGTCAGCGGCCTTTCTGCATATTCTACAGGTGTTGTGGGTGCCAGTTGTGCCAGCTGGAGTGCACAGATTGCATCCTCCATACACGTGTATGGAGGGATTGCATCTAGCTTCAAAACTTCTTCAACAAGTTTGGTGCTTGTTTTTCTATAAGAGAAAAGGCTCTCTCTCTTGTCTCAGGTTCTGAAGTTGGCCAAGAGTGATAGATACATCTCCTCCTCTATATTCTTCTCTCACTCTATATTTTGTGCCTTAAAGAGTGTTATTCCTTCACTTCTGCACTATAACTCCTAGTCACACACCACCATATTTGAGCTGAGATCCTTGGAGGTGGTTTTTGGGTCATAAGAGTTGGTTTTGGGCTGGAGGAATTGTTGTTGTTGCAGTGCTTCAAGGATAACCTCTTTTCTCCTCTTTAAGCTTTGTTTTTGGTTACTCTCCCAGCCATATTTGCATGATGATTTGAGCTTAACTTTCTACTAGAAAAAGTTCTGTTTTTCAGCCCTTGTGATGTTTGTTTAAGGTCTCTTGGATGTTGAGGGTCTTCTACCCTCTTGCATGCCTTATTTGGCCTTGTTTTGTGCCATGCCTTAAGGCCTTCGAGCTAGTCCTTGCTTGGCCTTTTAACCACTGAAATCTAGTGGATTTTCAGTGGTTGACATGTAGTTTTGAGGTCCTAAATCAGAGAGGGGTGATCCCCTCTCTTCTTATTTTGTTTGCTTGCATTATTGGCCTATCAAAGGAGCATGTGTTTCTACTATTTTGAGGCTTGGTTCAGGTACTTTTTTGTGACTTCTAGGACCTGCCTTGACTCTATCCATGGCTGATTTTGTCACCTTTTGCATGCTTCTTGTATGTGTAGTGTAATCCTATTTGTGGCTCATCAAAGTAGCATGTCTTTCTGGCATGTATGGGCTCCATTTCAGCAGGTTTTTGGTCATTATTTAGCATGTCATAACTCTTTCTAAAGTTGGTTTGATAGCCTTTTGCATGCTTCATGTACTTGTAGTATAAATCTTGCTTACTAGCTTTGTATGCATGTTGTTTTGGCTCATCATTCTAGCATATTTTGGCTATGCTCCAACATGATTTTATTCATATTTTGGGCTTTTCTAGGACTATTTTGGGTTACCATGGTCATATCACTCATGTTTTGTATAGTTATAGTGCAAATACTTTGGCTAGTCTTGAGTTTTGAGGCCCCTAGCATGCTATATTTGTGATATTTGCATACCTTGGCATCATTTGGCATGGAATTTCAAAGCTTATATCTTTGTCATACTCTCATGTTTATCACTCTTTGATTGTATTTGAGAGTTGAGCTTTGTGCCTTGCTTGCGAGCCATCATTTGGGCATGCTTTTTCTTGCTTAGCATGCTATCATTTCAGTCCATTTCAGCCACTGTTTTGACCTGCATTAGGTCTGTTTTGAGTGCTTTAGGTCATTTGAGCATTGCTTGGTATGGTTGTAGTGCAAAGCCCTTGACTAGCTTTGTATTTCAAGTCTCTTGGCATGCTTTATTTGAGCTATTTGCATGATATGGCTTCACTTTGCATGTAATTTCAGAGCATATAGACTTGTCATGCTCCCACTTTTTTCACCCCTTGAGTGCCCCTAAGGGTTGTGTTCTTATTGCCTAGCTTGTGGACCAATATGTGTGCATGTGTGTCTTGCCTTTTGATACCTTAGTCTTGGTGTTTATGGCCGCTGATTTGGACATGGCTGAGACCTATTCATTTCGGTTTAAGTCCATTGCGCATTGACTATGTCATGTAGTTCATAGCATTAAGCATGCCATGTTGTTACACGATTGATCATTGCACTTGTGCATGCCATTTTCATTGCATTATGTATGTTGGTTACCACGTGCATTGTGTATGTTAGTGTCATGAGCGTTGTGTATGCCATATAGTTCATAGCATCGTGTATGCTAGTTTGCATGTTTGCATGATCATCCCCTGCATGCTTGCATGTCCAAGTTATGTTGCATTAAGTTGCATGATTAAGTCGCATTGTGCATGCCATGTTTGCTGCATTGTGTTTGGAATAGGCATTAGTTTAAACACGGGAAACGAGGGGCGTTTCATACTCGAAGTGACAAAATGTACCTCAATTCCCGGTCGCCAACACTCTTGACTATACATGATGGAGTTTTAGGCTTTACGTGTTCATATGTGCATTCATTTCATATTGAGTTACGCAATTCGGCTCCTCGGCCATCATGCATCGAGATGCGCAATTTATGGCTCGAGGATCGAGAACTATACTCCCTTGAGCTCATGTAATGATGGGGAGGATGGTTGCGCATACATGTGTTGCAAATACTTTGCCATGCCCCTTTCTTGCTCTCTGTTGCAGCAAACCAGAAACCAGCAGCAAAAACTGGTCGGCCGACCAGATAAAGTGGCAGGCCGACCACTTTTTCTGGTTTTCACCACAAAAAGTGGTTGGTCGGTGGTCTCCAAGGCCAATATCTGGTCGGCAGCCTTCCCACAGGTTCCCTTGGTGGAGTTTCAGCCTTCTGGAGCTTTGTGCAGTGTTCTGAGATCAATTGCAAACAAAGGCAAGTCGGGGCGTTGCGAGGGATTGCCAAACAAGGCGACTCGAGCATGCATGCATCCTTTGTCATCCAAAGCAAAGCTGAGGCAGCCTACATCATATAGTTTATATGCTTATTTAATTGCTAACTTAGCTAATTTGTTAATTAGTTAGAGTTGTGTAATAATTGGCTGTAGTTCATTATTCGTTTCATTGTGTAATAACTAGTTTAATTAGATTAGCTTAGATTAGCTAGTTAGCTCGTTATTCGGACCCTCCGTCAAGAGGGCGAATTTTGTAATAAGTGTACGTGTGTGTGATGCATGTCTTCCAACCCCCACTTCTTTCTCCCTTTTATTTACCAACTTACGATAGTTAGTTTTAGGTCATGTTTTAATTA